TATATTTGCATACTTGTGTAACAACAACATAAAAACAAAATGTTTTTACATAACGATATAATATTCGTTTTATACTCCAGACTTATACCGGTTCCCGGTTCCTAGTTATAGTTGTTACTTATTATCCTGATAGTTACTTTGCAATAGGCTATTTACCCAGTATTACATAGAATTAGGGCTATTATTTTGATTAATTGTAGATATATATTATCAGTAAATTATTATCTTGTATAATAACTGGTAAATAACTTGTTAATAAAATAATTATCAGAAAAATTATTTATAATCTATAAATTAACTAAACAAAATATTTATAGAAACATGGTACATCATATCGTCAGACTGAATCTTTGGATAGATTAAATGTTAATCATATACATACAATTTTATATAAACAAGATATTTTAAATCAACATGAATTTCATCGTATTGTGGACCTATTAAAAATTCAATATGCTATTGAAGAATATCTTTTCTGTTTTATTCGTTCCTTGGGCAAGGTTGAAGTTAAAAGTAAAACAACTTCATTTTTTTAGACCGATATGTGATATTGTTAGCAATTCAATTACAATTATACAAAAAGTCAATAAAAGAAATTACTCAAATAGAATTTGGAGTTATAGAAGCTGAAGATTTAATGAAAAAAATCTAAAATAGCATCAAAATCTAGATTTATAGTATTTTGAAAAAAAATTTTTTTATGTAATGTTCAGTGTATAGAAATCATTTATTAATAAAAATGTTTAATATACAGTTTTATATAAAAACTAATATATATTGTACAAGTTTATGAATTTGGTCTGTACAGAAATAGTTCTTGGTCACAGAGGTTTGATTAATAGATCTATGTAATATTCAGAAGCCCTTTTAAGGGTAGGTGTATGTAAATTATTTTTCATATGATCTATGTGGTATATTAGATTTTATATAGTAAATAAAAAACACTTCTAATAAAACTTTTCAATATCTTAACCAATTTTGTATAAAATTTATATAATATGTAATTTAAACAGTTCATTTATGATATTGAAGTTGTGCAATATATATTGTTTTAAAAAAAATCAAATTTACATATAATTAAATTTTCCTAGGTCGCTATATATTTTTCCTAAGTAATACAAAAAATTGATAATTCTGATTAGTCAAATCATATAATGTTTATATATAAATCATATGATATCATATACACAAAGTTGATTTACAATCTATTTTATATAAAATTGGAAATTTGTATACCCTACCCTTAATATCTTGCCACCTACTTGACCATTTTGAGCATTCTCACCTTCTTTAGATTTGTAAAGAGTTTCTCTACATTTTCTTTCTAAGTTACAAACTCTGTTAGCATAATATAAATACCTTGAATTTTTAATTTTTTAATTTGTTTAAAAATTTTACTTCTTTTCATTTTTCTTTCTCCAAGTTTGTTTTATTTTCTCCTTTGAGACCTTATATTTGACTTGGGATTATTATTTTCTTTTCCACTATAGTATTCTTTTTTGAAAATAAAATACCAAAAGGTCATTACTTTTGGAAAAAGAGACAATGCAAAAGGCTTTTGAAACAAGAACAAAAAGAATTACAACAAAAAAAACAACAGAAGGAACAACAATTTTGCCAACAGTTATATAGAATAGTGAAAGATATTGTAAAAATTATTATAAATATCTTGGCTAGTATTGATTACTATTTCTCTCTTGTAATAGAAAAGCTCTTATTTGAATTTTATAAACTTGTTACTTGTCTTTTTATTTAAACAAGTTGTTTTTTTTATACTTTCTTAAATTTTTACTATACTATTTGGACTCTTCTTTTTGAATAACTGGTTTTAGAATTATTTTAACTCAGTTAAAATAATAATAGACATTGTATTTTTTTTTGTCATTGAATTGTAAGCTAGCTCTTGTTAAGTGAGGCTGTATGTTTACAGGATATAATATTTCCTGTAGTTATGTAAACTTCTAGTTTAGAAATAGTAGATTAGTATATTTACCCTTTAGGATAATTTCCACAGACAAGGATTTTATTATTGTAATCCAACTCTTGTTAAGTCAAGACAGTATATACTGCTTGTGTATTTTCTGGATATAACATTCCCAGCCATGTGTAATTTTTGGATATAACATTCCTAGCCAAGTATAATTTCTAGACGTAACATTCCCAGCCGTGTGTATTTTCTAGATATAACATTCTCAGTCATATATAATTTCTAAACATAATATTCTCAGCCGTGTGTAATTTCTGGACATAATATTCCTAGCCATATGTAATTTTTGGACATAATATTCTCAGCCGTGTGTAATTTCTGGACATAGCATTCCTAGCCGTGTATATTTTCTGAATATAATATTTCTAGCCGTGTATATCCTGAATAGGATTTTAGTATAAATATTGCTAGCAAAGGAACAGTTAGTTAAATTTTAGTATATTGTTCTGAAAAAAGGTTAAAAATATAATATTGTTTTTGGATCTAATTTATTTATTGAATTTTATTTTTATTTATTGGGTTATATATTTATTAAATTATATTAGATTTTATATTTTATTTTATTAGTATAGTTATTTTTCTTTTTTGTAAATAATATAAAGTAATAGCTATATTCATGAATAGTATATTAGCACATACTAGCTTTATATTATTAAAATTTA